AAAGGTTTCAAACTCTCTGAATGGACTCTGGTTCTGACTCTGTGCAGGAGGACCTGTCCTGAGGCGGACCTCGTTTTGTTGGGTCTGTCCATATTCTCCGTCTTCTTCAGTCACGTCGTTGGTTTCTGGAGCTGTGGATCTCTGCACGCTGGTGTTGGCCTTTTCGCCGCTCTGGGCTGGAAGTCGGACAAGGTAGCATCTGGATCACACACCTGGACGGGGACTTCTCCAAATCAGAATCAGGATCAGAATCAGGATCAGGATCAGGATCAGATCAGAATGATCAGGATCAGGATCAGGATCAGGATCATCAGGATCAGATCAGGATCAGAATCAGAATCAGAATCAGGATCAGGATCAGGATCAGGATCAGGATCAAGATCAGAATCAGAATCAGGATCAGGATCAGAATCAGAATCAGAATCAGGATCAGAATCAGGATCAGAATCTGGGTTTATTGCCAAGTACATTTACACATACAGAATCTGACTTGGTGTATTGGTGCTAAACAATTAACAAGGAAATAAAGCAGAACTAACAACAACTTAAATAATACAGAAGAAGAAGAAGATATTACAATATATAAAATAGAATTTAAAAATGTAAAATATAAAAAACACAAAATGTAGAAAAGGTGCGATGTTAGCATTATCATTAGCATGACCTCTAAGTGAACGTACCTCTGAATCTGCTCATTTATTGTTTCATGCTCAGGCTCCGGTGGCGGCCATGGTGGGCCGCTCCTGGGACGTGTTCCAGCCGCTCCTCTTCGGTCTGATCGGCGCAGAGATCACCATAGCGAAGCTGAACCCCAGCACCGTGGGTAAGGACTCACAGACAGGTCTCGGTTGGATCGGGTCTCGGTGTGATGGACACAGCTACTGATTGTCTCCGCACTCGACTGAAAGTCCAGAAGGATTTCATCCTGTGTCGATATTCTCCCAGATTCTGTTGTGAGTTTCTGACGATGGTTGAACTCACTGTGTGTTCAGGTCTTGGTTTGGCCTGCATCGCTATCGGTCTGGTGATCCGGCTGCTCGTCACCTTCCTGCTGGTCCACTTTGGAGGATTCACCCTGAAGGAGAAACTCTTCATATCTGTGGCCTGGCTGCCGAAGGCCACCGTGCAGGTCTGAAGCGCTTTTTAAACCCGTTTGTTCTGTCACACGTTTTGTACCGATACTGATGTTACATGAAGGGGGTCGGTGGTGGATCCTTAGGCTAGACCAGCTGAGAACTCTAGAACTACCTGAAGACTCCTTACTACATGGTTGTGTTAAATACTTGATTCTGATTGGCCAGCTATGCATAGCAACGGTCTGCTACCCCTCGATGGATCAGCGTTGTTATGAAAAATAAACCAACAGGAACAGACGGTTGCTAGGTGACGCGGCTCCAATCACAGACTCTGGTGGACTGTGAACACGGAGCTGAGAACACAACCACAGAGGGAGTTTGACTTCACTCTCCTTTTAAGGAAAGTCGCTGTTTCTTTGTTTTGTTTTGTGTCAGGCCGCCATCGGCTCGAAGGCGTTGGACATGGCGAGGGACGAGAAGAACGACACGTTGATCAAGTTTGGCCTGGACGTGCTAACGTTAGCGGTGTTAGCCATCCTGACCACGGCTCCCATCGGGGCGCTGGGTATAGGCCTGGCAGGACCACGCCTCCTGACTCGACAGGTCAAAGGTCAGTGCATGCTCACACACTGCACACAAGAACCACAGAAGGACTTGCTGTACTTTATTCCTGATCAATAAAGTATCTCTCTGTAAACCAACGCCAGTCATGTGTCGTCTGTACATGAACTGATAGTTTACTCCGTTTATCTTTATGTTAACAGACGACACAGAAGGCGGAGCCACGACTCAGAGCAGCGCCGGGACCAGTCAAGAAAAAGACAACATGACTCTTGAGAGCAAACTCTGAGGCTTCTTACTGGATACACATATGATAAATAAATCTACAGAAGCCCTGAGTGGACACGCACGCATAGATTTTATTTTGCTCTTGTAGTGTAATTAACTTATTAAGAATTTCCTCGGGCCACAGGAAAAATGAACTTTAACTGTATAAGTTAATTAATTATTCAGTGTCATATCAGAATGTCAGTAAGTTCTCTAGGATAAAGATAAAGATAAACTTTATCTATTAAACTAAACTATTTACATCATTTAAATAAAAAAAATAAAAAAATACAATAATGTAAAATTACACAGTAACTTGTTCTTAAAAAAACACACACAGTGTGTAGCATGAGGTGGTGATGTTGTTAAAGAGTCTGATTAAACAGTCTGACGGCAGATGGGATGAACACTTCAATCATTAAATAAAAATAAGTGATTACGTGTGGTTTTATTACAGGAATCGTGAACAATAATGTAGATTAATAAAGTAAATATCAAAGATTATAATTTGTATGACTTTAAAGTTAATTTCTTCCTAACAGGAAGTGGTGCCCCGAGGAATAATTAGAATATATTATCTTAATAAGTTAATTACGCTACACTCTGCTTGGCAGCGTTAACGAGTTTTAAGATCTCCACTTATTCATCTCGTTATCTCAGAACTTCATCGCTGGTTTTCTTGTTGACTTGATTAAAGATCTGCCTGTGTGTCCGCTTAGGGCTTCCATACAAACCTCGTGTTGTTACAGATCTGTTTTCATATCTCTGCCGTGTAATTTCTTTTTGTGCTTCTGTAAGCTAACGCTAGCTCTTAGCTGCTTCTGTCACACGTCCTCTAATGTTCAGGGTTTTTTTACTCTATTGTAAGCGACAGGACTTCATTTATGTCATATACAAAAAATGTACAATTAAGAACAGGGAATCACCCCGGGTACAATGTGTACTGTATATAGAAAGAGAGAAACTGTTTATAACACGGCTGGGATCAAATGTGGATTGACTCACTTCTGCAGCCAGCCTCTAGTAGACACTTGGGGAACTGCAGATTTTACATTGGCTTAGCATTTTTCAGGTTGCCGCCTGGTGAAACCTCCAAACATTGTTTTGTAGTGTTAGTATTGTGTTTGTTGATTTGCTGTACTGTAAGCTGCGGAGCCAGGTTACACAATGTGAACGTGATGGTCTGTAGAGGGGTTAGCTCGCTAATGTTAGCGTAGCATGTTTTTCATCTGTGCCTTAAATGAAAAAACCTCATAAACACAATAAAAGAGACACAAGCAGCTGTTCATTCTTTCATGTATGGAAAATCTCTACTTTTTGGATGTTTGTTTGTATCCACTCTTCAGTAGAAAGCTCTGATCTTTCTTCTAATGCTGCGGAGGAGACGAGCAGCGGAGAAGAAGAGGGCGTGGCTTCATGAGATCCTCGGGGTTACGACAGGAGTTGGGAGAGTTTTAGTTCGTCCAGGAGCTGCAGCTCTATAACGACCACTTTACGAACATGACACATTTCTGCTGCTGTTTGAAACTCACCTGGTACGCCCAAACTGTCCGACGTCTTTCCAAACGAGCACTCTCTCTCCGTCTTCCCTGTAGGTCGTCTGTTTGTTGTGATGGGATCTTCCCTCCTATTGGACAACCTGCTTGGTGTGCCAGGGCCTTAAAGTCTTTATATGTGATGTTTTGATCCAGCAGATGTCGCCCCCTTGAGCACCAGCATGAAACCAAAACAACTCGCGCTGCATTGTTGTGTTAGCATGGTGGTGGATCCTTGGGCTAGACCAGCTGAGAACTCTAGAACTACCTGAAGACTCCTTACTACATGGTTGTGTTAAATACTTGATTCTGATTGGCCAGCTATGCATAGCAACGGTCTGCTACCCCTCGATGGATCAGCGTTGTTATGAAAAATAAACCAACAGGAACAGACGGTTGCTAGGTGACGCGGCTCCAATCACAGACTCTGGTGGACTGTGAACACGGAGCTGAGAACAACAAACCACAGAGGGAGTTTGACTTCACTCTCCTTTTAAGGAAAGTCGCTGTTTCTTTGTTTTGTTTTGTGTCAGGCCGCCATCGCTCGAAGGCGTTGGACATGGCGAGGGACGAGAGGAACGACACGTTCATCAAGTTTGGCCTGGACGTGCTAACGTTAGCGGTGTTAGCCATCCTGACCACGGCTCCCATCGGGGCGCTGGGTATAGGCCTGGCAGGACCACGCCTCTAATGCTAGCGATCTTTATTATGCTGGTATCTTCACACTGCATGTAAATTTACTTGAAATGAGCGTGATCTAGAAACACAGTTAAGCAGTGAGTACAGTATGTTATTCTTCTTTTCTCTAGTCCCTCAATTAAACAACTTTTATACACGAGGGGAGGAGTCAGCCGGCCGGGCCCGGCGATGTAAACAAAGTGAAGATAGGACTCTGAAAACTCTGAAAACATCACAGACAGTGGGACTCGGGTGTTACACCCATTGTAGACAGTCATGACTCACAGAGTTATTTTCAGAGGAGCTACTTGATTTCTACATTTAAATGTGAAAAATCACATAGAAAGACTTTAATGTTAGGTTTACCTCCTAAGTTTAAACAATGATCTATAACACTTAAAAAAGGAAGTCTCATTCTGTGATGATACAATATGAAATCAGTATTTCAGCATGCCTTCCTCTGAATGCAGCAGGTGAAGTAACGTTTGCTTCCAGTGAAGAGCGGTGAAAACACAGACACGTATCTGTGGTACATTTAGAGTTATTCAAGGCGTTAAGTTAAGTGGATTTAAAAAAAAAAACAGCCTTGGTTTCTTACGAGAAAAAAACGACTGTTTCCTGTTACTTTTGTTGTTGCCACCACCAGTTTTCTTCTTCACACCTCAGATCACACTGAGGTGACCACAGCCCCAAGAAGTGTTGACTCTCACATCGCTCCGCTGAGGCCGTTCCATTGGTCTAACCAGCAGCTGCATTGTTAGTCAAGATCTGTCTCCACAACACCACCTTTAGACAAAACTCAGTGAAGCTACAACAAATAGAAGGGTGAAGAAGAAGGGTTAAAATCTGATTCAGATTTCAGACGTTGATCCCAGAAGGGCCCGTTCAGTTTCACAGCCGGCTGAGTCGTTGACAGAAGCCGAGACAGGGTCACAGCAGCGTTCAGATAACAACATTCACATGTTAGCAACAACAATCCAACAGGTCGCCCAATGAGAAGCCAGAGATAGAAAAACATTCAGAAATGAGTTTAAAGTCCACACATCAACATTCAACCGCCTGACAGCTGAAGGGATAAAAGAGAATCTGTCGGTTCTCCTCCAGCGACATCCAGAGGGCGTTAAAGAAAAGACAGATGACAGAACGTGTCCAGGTTGATTTTTACGATTCCTTTGGATTTCTTGTAGTGTTAGTATTGTGTTTGTTGATTTGCTGTACTGTGAGCTGCGGAGCCAGATTACACAATGTGAACGTGATGGTCTGTAGAGGGGTTAGCTCGCTAATGTTAGCGTAGCATGTTTTTCATCTGTGCCTTAAATGAAAAAACCTCATAAACACAATAAAAGAGACACAAGCAGCTGTTCATTCTTTCATGTATGGAAAATCTCTACTTTTTGGATGTTTGTTTGTATCCACTCTTCAGTAGAAAGCTCTGATCTTTCTTCTAATGCTGCGGAGGAGACGAGCAGCGGAGAAGAAGAGGGCGTGGCTTCATGAGATCCTCGGGGTTACGACAGGATGTGGGAGAGTTTTAGTTCGTCCAGGAGCTGCAGCTCTATAACGACCACTTTACGAACATGACACATTTCTGCTGCTGTTTGAAACTCACCTGGTACGCCCAAACTGTCCGACGTCTTTCCAAACGAGCACTCTCTCTCCGTCTTCCCTGTAGGTCGTCTGTTTGTTGTGATTGGATCTTCCCTCCTATTGGACAACCTGCTTGGTGTGCCAGGGCCTTAAAGGCTTTATATGTGATGTTTTGATCCAGCAGATGTCGCCCTTGAGCACCAGCATGAAACCAAAACAACTCGCGCTGCATTGTTGTGTTAGCATGCTAATGCTAGCGATCTTTATTATGCTGGTATCTTCACACTGCATGTAAATTTACCTGAAATGAGCGTGATCTAGAAACACAGTTAAGCAGTGAGTACAGTATGTTATTCTTCTTTTCTCTAGTCCCTCAATTAAACAACTTTTATACACGAGGGGAGGAGTCAGCCGGCCATCCTGGCGATGTAAACAAAGTGAAGATAGGACTCTGAAAACTCTGAAAACATCACAGACAGTGGGACTCGGGTGTTACACCCATTGTAGACAGTCATGACTCACAGAGTTATTTTCAGAGGAGCTACTTGATTTCTACATTTAAATGTGAAAAATCACAAATAAAGACTTTAATGTTAGGTTTACCTCCTAAGTTTAAACAATGATCTATAACACTTAAAAAAGGAAGTCTCATTCTGTGATGATACAATATGAAATCAGTATTTCAGCATGCCTTCCTCTGAATGCAGCAGGTGAAGTAACGTTTGCTTCCAGTGAAGAGCGGTGAAAACACAGACACGTATCTGTGGTACATTTAGAGTTATTCAAGGCGTTAAGTTAAGTGGATTTAAAAAAAAAACAGCCTTGGTTTCTTACGAGAAAAAAACGACTGTTTCCTGTTACTTTTGTTGTTGCCACCACCAGTTTTCTTCTTCACACCTCAGATCACACTGAGGTGACCACAGCCCCAAGATGTGTTGACTCTCACATCGCTCCGCTGACCAGCTGGACTCCAATGATCTTTGCCCAGACTCGAGTCCTCCATCGATCTGACTCCACTTGATCTAATGCCACTGAACTCCAGCTCACTCCCTTCGATCTTTCATCACCTGACTAGACCCGACTCCTCTTGACTTGACTCCACCTTACATTGACCTGACCTCTTGACCTGACCTCTTGATCTGACCTCTTGACCTGACCTCTTGACCTGACTCAAGTCGACTAGTCCACCTCTCTTGTTCTGACTCTGACTCGAGCTGTCCAGAGTTGACTCGATTCAACCTGTTGATTCCACCCGACTCAAGTTCACAAGAACCTAACCCCCAATGGACCAGACAAGACTCCACAGCTGTTATCACATTCTGCTCCAATCAGCTTCACTTTGATCTGATACCCACTCCACATTACCTGACTTGTGTGGACTCCCCCTGACTCTACCGGACTCCTAATGACTCCGATCAGCTCCTCATGGTTCCTCTCCCCTTGAATCGTCTGGAAGTCGACTCGACCGGAATCTCATCGAGCACACTCAACCTAACTTTCAAATCTAACTCCTCCTGCCTCGACTTGACTCCACTGACACCTCAACTCTCCTTGACCTGGCATCCCATAACTCCACTCATCCCATAACTCCACTCATCCCATGACTCCACTCATCCCATGACTCTACTCATCACACAAGTCCATCCAGCCCGGCTCATTGGTTCAGACTCTACTCCCTTTGAGCTTACTTTGACCCGAGTTAGCTCCTGAGTCGACTATACTCCACCTTTAACTCAACAAGTACTGACTCTACTTGTATTAAAGATGGAGTGAGTAGAGATGTTGGTTATTCCAACTGGGCCCCTCCTCCTGGGCTCATCACCCCCAGAAGCCCCACCCCCTGCAGGATGTAGAATAGAAGAATAGAATAGAATAGAATAGAACCTTATTTGTCCACAAAGTGGAGTATTGTCTTTGGCTTCACAAGAACAAGACAGAAAAAACATTGTGACAAATAAGACAACATTCAAGGTTTAAAAACGAAAAAAAGACAACAAAAGGTTCACCCTCGTTTTAGAACGAGCTTTATCCACTTGGTGTTTCTCTGAATTATATCCACTCCTAAACTCACCTGCTGCGCTGTCATTGGCTGGAGGAAACACACCAGCTCCGCCCACAAACGTCCCGAGTCAACCAGAACAAATCAGAACAGTAAAATCCAGTGAGAGGACAGAGTCTCTGCAGACACAGTCACCACCTCACAGGTATGGAGGCCCAGAAGGGACAATAGAGCAGCTTCACTTTAGAAGAAGTCTGTATTTTATTTTGAAGGAGACAGGAAACTGACTCCATCTTTAACTCAGTCTTATAATGATCCACTTGACCCGACCTGACTCCACTTGCCTTGACCCGACTTTCTCCTCAATTTGATCAGACTTCAACAAAGTCTATTCCACCTGACCTGAGCAAAACTAAATCATTTCACTTTGTTTATTCGATTGTAATTTATTGGACCCAGCCGATATGATGAGTCTTCACGTGTCTGTCCGTCAGATGAACTCTGACCCCTGTTTGTTCTGATGATGAGCTCTGAGACCTCACAGATGGATATTAAGATCAAACATATTTCATATTTCTCATATTTTTTAACAAACATCAGCAGAAGCAGGTTCATGATGTTTGAAATAAGAGTGAAAACATCCATCGGGTGAATGTGTGGACTTGAGAAAAAGTGTTTGTCTCCTCTGCAGACTGACTTTCACACTTCTTCTTTGGCCTCTTTGTGGTTTTCTTTTGAAACAGGATGTGTTCGCCACACCAGCTGGTCAGAGACGCTCCAGCCTGCACACGATGAAGACTACTCTGCTGTTCCTCTGTGAGTACAGAAACATTTTAAAGTCACCGTGATACTCTTATTAAACTCTTTGATTTAGATAAATACATCAACTTTATGTCTGTGACAGAAATTCACCTTTGACAACAATAAACAATTAACTTTGAAAACAAATTTTAACACTTCATTTCAAACACATATAATCACTTTTTAATCCCATGTTTACACATTTGAACTATTCTAAAACACTTTAATCACATGAGAAATGAATGAGGAGGGAGCGCTGAAACAGCATCTGGTTAAAAGGTGAACTGAACAGCCAATGAAAGATTTCTTTTTTAAGTTTTTCAATAATTTCTGGGAGCATTTTAATGGGAATCCTGATAGTGGGTTCTTAAATATGCAACGTTTTCAGCTAATGTGAATAAAAGTGTTTATAAGTCATAAAAACACACATACAGTGATCTTAAGACTTTAGACTTTATTGTCCACAAGGGGAAATGAAAGCATACAGTCTTTGATGGCTCCTTTTTTGAATGTCCGTTGTGTGCTGGTTGAAAGTGAGTTTATTGTCCCGTGTGAGTCCGAGGTATTTGAAGCTGTCAACTGTTTCAACTGTATCGTTGTTGATGAGAGTGGGGGGGCTGGGGTGATGGGGTACCTATTGTTATTTATTTTGTTTGACTGTCGTTTCAGTGCTGAGGCTCTACTTCACGTCTGCTCAAAGTCGTGGTGAGTTCAAATCGTCATGGTTTTTTTCATGTTTGTTTGTGTTGTTGAGTCGATGCTCACTCAGGTCACCATGTGGTGGACTCTGAAGCTTCAGTGTTTATCCAGCTCTGCATGGGTCTGTAAACCTTTCTGTGTTCTAACCTCTCTCCATTTTTCAAAAGCATCTCCAATATTGATCCTAGTTTGAGCACGTTTCTGCTCGTGGAGCTTATTAGAAACATGCAGAGGCTTTTTAGGTCGGGTACAATCACTTCTATCTGAACCACTTCTCTTGACCGCTTCCATCACTGCAACACCTGTTGACCTGATAACTGCTCTCATATCTGACAAACCGTGCTTGTATGTTTGTGTGTAAATGTTCGTTCAGTATCGTAACCCCTGTGTTTGTGTCTCTGTTTGCAGCCACTCTGATCGTCTCGCCCAGCAGCTCACAGTTTTTCGAGTACAACAGCGTCTCTTTGATCTGTGATCATTCCAGCTCTGATGAATGGACGGTGTGGAGATACACGAGTCGGTCAGTTTGACACCAAAGTTCTCACTTAGATCCACCACTGACCACATCCTGTTTGACTCTCCCCCTCACAGTACAGTGAGCCGGGTTTGATCTGCTCTGTTTGCTTAATGTTTGATTTTATTTAGAGAAATATCAAAACAGCGTCAAAGAATCGTGTCCTGGCATCCGCAACAGATCTGACCTGGAACCTGTTCCCTATGACACGAGTCACATTAGTTTCTCCTCCGCTGTTGATGTTGACACAGATGATTTCATAAGTCCAAAGTTGGGGATGATTGGTTGAAACCCCTTAGACGAGTTCGAGTTAGCTTTAGCATGGTGTGAAAGCTCCGGTAACTCTGGGCGTAGCTGTTAGCTTTAGCATGGTGTGAAAGCATCTTAAACCGGCTGCGGTAACTCTGGGCGTAGCTGTTAGCTTTAGCATGGTGTGAAAACATCTTAAACCAGCTGCGGTAACTCTGGGCATAGCTGTTAGCTTTAGCATGGTGTGAAAGCTCCGGTAACTCTGGGGGTAGCTGTTAGCTTTAGCATGGTGTGAAAGCTCCGGTAACTCTGGGGGTAGCTGTTAGCTTTAGCATGGTGTGAAAGCTCCGGTAACTCTGGGGGTAGCTGTTAGCTTTAGCATGGTGTGAAAGCATCTTAAACCGGCTCCGGTAACTCTGGGGGTAGCTGTTAGCTTTAGCGTGGTGTGAAAGCTCCGGTAACTCTGGGGGTAGCTGTTAGCTTTAGCGTGGTGTGAAAGCTCCGGTAACTCTGGGCGTAGCTGTTAGCTTTAGCGTGGTGTGAAAGCTCCGGTAACTCTGGGCGTAGCTGTTAGCTTTAGCGTGGTGTGAATGCTCCGGTAACTCTGTGCGTAGCTGTTAGCTTTAGCGTGGTGTGAAAGCTCCGGTAACTCTGGGCGTAGCTGTTAGCTTTAGCGTGGTGTGAAAGCTCCGGTAACTCTGGGCGTAGCTGTTAGCTTTAGCGTGGTGTGAAAGCTCCGGTAACTCTGGGCGTAGCTGTTAGCTTTAGCGTGGTGTGAAAGCTCCGGTAACTCTGGGGGTAGCTGTTAGCTTTAGTGTGGTGTGAATGCTCCGGTAACTCTGTGCGTAGCTGTTAGCTTTAGCGTGGTGTGAAAGCTCCGGTAACTCTGGGCGTAGCTGTTAGCTTTAGCGTGGTGTGAAAGCTCCGGTAACTCTGGGCGTAGCTGTTAGCTTTAGCATGGTGTGAAAGCTCCGGTAACTCTGGGCGTAGCTGTTAGCTTTAGCATGGTGTGAAAGCTCCGGTAACTCTGGGCGTAGCTGTTAGCTTTAGCATGGTGTGAAAGCATCTTAAACCAGCTGCGGTAACTCTGGGCGTAGCTGTTAGCTTTAGCATGGTGTGAAAGCATCTTAAACCAGCTGCGGTAACTCTGGGCGTAGCTGTTAGCTTTAGCATGGTGTGAAAGCATCTTAAACCGGCTGCGGTAACTCTGGGCATAGCTGTTAGCTTTAGCATGGTGTGAAAGCATCTTAAACCAGCTGCGGTAACTCTGGGCGTAGCTGTTAGCTTTAGCATGGTGTGAAAGCATCTTAAACCAGCTGCGGTAACTCTGGGCGTAGCTGTTAGCTTTAGCATGGTGTGAAAGCTCCGGTAACTCTGGGGGTAGCTGTTAGCTTTAGCATGGTGTGAAAGCTCCGGTAACTCTGGGGTAGCTGTTAGCTTTAGCATGGTGTGAAAGCTCCGGTAACTCTGGGCGTAGCTGTTAGCTTTAGCATGGTGTGAAAGCTCCGGTAACTCTGGGGGTAGCTGTTAGCTTTAGCATGGTGTGAAAGCTCCGGTAACTCTGGGGGTAGCTGTTAGCTTTAGCATGGTGTGAATGCTCCGGTAACTCTGGGGGTAGCTGTTAGCTTTAGCATGGTGTGAAAGCTCCGGTAACTCTGGGGGTAGCTGTTAGCTTTAGCATGGTGTGAAAGCATCTTAAACCGGCTCCGGTAACTCTGGGCGTAGCTGTTAGCTTTAGCATGGTGTGAAAGCATCTTAAACCGGCTCCGGTAACTCTGGGCGTAGCTGTTAGCTTTAGCGTGGTGTGAAAGCTCCGGTAACTCTGGGCGTAGCTGTTAGCTTTAGCTTGGTGTGAAAGCTCCGGTAACTCTGGGCGTAGCTGTTAGCTTTAGCGTGGTGTGAAAGCTCCGGTAACTCTGGGCGTAGCTGTTAGCTTTAGCGTGGTGTGAAAGCTCCGGTAACTCTGGGCGTAGCTGTTAGCTTTAGCGTGGTGTGAAAGCTCCGGTAACTCTGGGCGTAGCTGTTAGCTTTAGCGTGGTGTGAAAGCTCCGGTAACTCTGGGGGTAGCTGTTAGCTTTAGCGTGGTGTGAAAGCTCCGGTAACTCTGGGGGTAGCTGTTAGCTTTAGCGTGGTGTGAAAGCTCCGGTAACTCTGGGCGTAGCTGTTAGCTTTAGCTTGGTGTGAAAGCTCCGGTAACTCTGGGGGTAGCTGTTAGCTTTAGCGTGGTGTGAAAGCTCCGGTAACTCTGGGCGTAGCTGTTAGCTTTAGCGTGGTGTGAAAGCTCCGGTAACTCTGGGCGTAGCTGTTAGCTTTAGCGTGGTGTGAAAGCTCCGGTAACTCTGGGCGTAGCTGTTAGCTTTAGCGTGGTGTGAAAGCTCCGGTAACTCTGGGCGTAGCTGTTAGCTTTAGCATGGTGTGAAAGCTCCGGTAACTCTGGGCGTAGCTGTTAGCTTTAGCATGGTGTGAAAGCTCCGGTAACTCTGGGCGTAGCTGTTAGCTTTAGCTCAGGGTGAGTACGCCACCATTGTTCTCCTCAGAATCTTTCAGACCATGACTTGTGATTCATTGGTAACAAACCCCGTCAGACTTGATAATTGACATGATGATGTCACAGTTTAATCTGAACATGGCGAATGAAACGAGGTGATTTGTTTCCTCCAGTACTAAACTAGAGTTGTCCAGCTGCAACTCGGGCTGGGGCAACCCGACGCCGTCCCGCTGCGATATCAAGGCCATCAAACCGTTGGACAGCGGCATGTACTGGTGTGAATCAAAATACAGAGACAGCAGCAACATGGTCAACATCACCGTCATCACTGGTAAGAATCGTGAAATGTTTACATACACACTTCCTCTTCCTCTTCTTCTTCTTCTCTTCTCACCACAGGTGAAACGTAGAGCTTTCATATGACATGTGACACACTCACTTTCAGACAGGTTTGTGCATGCTGTGTTTTAATGCTCACATCAGAAGAGTAAAAAACATATCTGTGCCCGTGTGACGTCCCGTCTGTGATTCATACTTAGAGGGAAGTGAGTCATGGAGTGTACCGTGATACAGATGAGTGGAGGCCCTCTGGTTATGAAAAATCAGGAGAGGAAGCACAAAGTCATACTAACTCAGTTTGTGTTCACTGTTTTTAACCCGGTTGGATGGAAATGATTGTTTTCACCCCTGCAGATGATCCAGAACGCAGCGTGACTCGTCTTTAACCTCCCCAAATTTAAAACTCTGCTGCTTGCTGACAAATCAGACACAGAAACGTCTCCTCCTTACTTTAACTCTCTACACTCAGCCAATGAAAGGCGTCTGATCCAACCTTCACAACAGGGTCCTAAGTCTCTGACTGGACTCTTCTCCTCTGTCGCCCCCCGGTGGTGGAATGAACTTCCACACTCCATGTGATCTGCAGAGTCCCTCTGCACCTTTAAGGAAACGCTAAAGACCCAGCTCTTTCATGAATACCTACTAACTTAATGATGATGATGATAGCTTGATTCCTTTAAGACTCAAAAACAAAGATGCTGAAATTCACAATGTAAAGAAATTCAAAAATTGCATGCAAACTCTTGCACGCTGTCTAAGTTGCAAAAATACTTTTATTGGCCGTTTACGTCCATTGCAAGTTAGACCGTGTGCAGAGTTCATGCTTGGGAATATTAATTTAGGACTGAAAGTACGAACAAACGTTTCAACTTAAGTCCCGCCTCTGATTAGGCAAATAGAATCAGAATCAGATTTATTGTCCAGGTATGCTTACACACACAAGGAATTTAACTTCAGTGAACTGTGCTCTCTTTGTACAGGAACAACATTAAATATCAACAATAAACATAAAAAAAAAAAAAAATCATAGATTGGATCTTGGGGTGGTACCTGGGTCGGCCCATGCCACCCCTGGTCCCCCTTCTAGACTCGCCCCTGCTGCTGCTGGATGAAGTAATCTAGTGGGGACAATCAGTTAACCTTTTGTTTGAATTATTCTAACCCTAACCCCAAAATGAAATAAAAAGATCTCAGGTTCAAGAAGAACTCGAGATACTCTTTAAATGTCCTGCAACAATCGAGCTCTGACCTCGAAACCCCCAGAAAACCCCAGGAGCCCTGCTGTAGTCTTGTTTCCCCCTCTGAGTTTATTCAGTTATATTTACTTCACCTTCTTCGATGTTTATAACATGTTTCTCTCTGTGATGAGATAAAGGTGTGATCCTGCAATCTCCAGCCGGCCTGGTGACGGAGGGAGATAACATCACTCTGAACTGTAAAGAACAGAACACCAACAATCTCCAGGCTGAGTTCTATAGGAACAACTTCTCCCTCAGTACCAAGCCTGAAGGTAACATGACCATCCACCAAGTGTCCAAGTCCAATGAAGGAGAGTACAAATGTCGCATGAGTGAAAACAAGTCCTCACCCAGCTGGCTGCTGATAGAAGGTAAACTTTATTTCACCTTACAGACATCTTCACTCCTCACTCGGACAAGAGTGAGGAGTGCAGCGTGTGTGAAGTAAAGGGTTTAAGTCCCCCCCCCGTCCTCTCCCACAGATGGTTTAGACCCGGCAGTGCTCACCGTGTCTCCAGACTCGTCTCAGACTTTTGAGTACAAAATTCTGAATCTGAGCTGCAGGCACGACCGCAGCTCTCACGGCTGGAGGATCGCCAGGGTCACCTTGGATCACAAGCTGTCCCACTGTGGAGTCGGCTGGGGGACACCCAGCTCCTCGGGCTGCTTCATCCAAACCGCCAAGAAGACCGACAGCGCAGTGTACTGGTGTGAGTCTGCTACGAGGCAACGGAGCAACTCTGTCAACTTTACCGTACACCGTAAGAGCCATACAAGAAACTCAGACAAAGAGCGTGATGTGTGGTAACTGTCACCAGTACATGCACAGTGTGAAGTTTGAAAGACAGGAGAATGTAAAACCTTCTTCTTCTCTCTCTGTGTGATGAGATGGAAACGTGACCCTGCAGACGCCGCTCCGCCCGCTGACGGAGGGAGATAACGTCACTCTGCTCTGTAAAACCAAGACGTCCCACACGCTCCCCTGTGACTTCTACAAAGACGGCGCCCACGTTAAGACTGAACCCGCAGGTCACATGACCATCCACGGTGTTTCCACGTCCGATGAAGGCCTGTACTGGTGCCACATCGCAGGTTACGGAGAGTCTCCGCCCAGCTGGCTGTTCGTCAGAGGTGAGTTTAAAAAAAAAAAAAAAACATCACACAACTTTAAATATCTGTTGTTTTCTAAAGTTTGTGAATTTGTGATTGTGCAATCCCTGCACCTTTCTCTCTCACTTGACATTCTGGTTATTTTTTCCACATGGTTGACCGATCCCCTTAAATCCTAATTTAAAATATATTCCTAAAATATCGATCCTCCTAAGTGTCAAAGTTTAAAGTTCTGGTATTGTGACGACCCTCCCTGACACACTGCATGACACTCTTTGTGTTGTTGTTGTGAAGCAGTCAGCTGATTCGTTCTGACTGTGACCCCCAGATGCCAGGCTGAGCGTGCTAAACTAAACTGGACGTGTGTTGTATTTTAGGGCACACGTGAACACGGTCATGTTTCACTGTGGAGCTCATCATGATTTCAACATTTACCTGACCAGGTGTGTTTGTCTCTATAGGTTCAAACAGTTCTCCTTCTCCCTCTGCGCTCACAATCATACTGATACGCCTCCCAGTGGTGGTCGCTCCATTCGCCATCTGCACCGTGCTGGCATTATTTTCATGTCGACACACAGGTAACAGTCTGAAGTCATGCTAGCAGTATCTGACAAAAAGCGCTATGCTAAAACAACATGCTAACATGCTCTGAATGACAACTCTAATCATGCTAATGTTTTTTTTTCTTCCATCATCCGTATACAACATGGACGTAGTCTCAGTAACGTTACCCATTGGTTTCTGAAAAGGCGTGAAGAAGCCCAATGATGGCGGTCGCCATGTTGGAGAAATAAAATCTTAAATCTGTTACCTTAATCCCACAGGAAGGAACCTGCCCGCCGAGGATTGTGAGGGATCGGAACAGCCATACGATGATGTCATCGCTGAAGTCACCACAGAGCATCAGTTCTAATATCGAAATGATATTTATTGAAGTGTCATGATTAGTGAACATGTGTGTTTATTAGTAAAGTGACGGAGATGCTGAATAAATATCTTAAAGGTGTTTTTGTTTGGGGTTCTGGTAACGCAGTGGTTAGTGTGCGCGCCCCACGTATGGAGGCTGTAGTCCTCCAAGCGGGCGGCCCAGGTTCAAATCTGGCCTGTGGCTCCTTTCCTGCATGTCATTCCCCTCTCTCTCTCTCTCTCTGATTTCTGATTCTATCCACTGTCCTATCTCTCCAATAACGGCACAAAATGCCCAGAAATAAATCTTTCAAAAAAAAAAGGTGTTTTTGTTTATTTTAAAACACACTTAACTTTACGATGATTTTAACAGTAGATAGAAATGTTAAATTGACTTTAAACTATCATGAGCAAAGATCCCGAGGAACCTATGAGAGCTCAGGAGCTCGCAGGAGAAGACGTGGTTAGTAAATGGCATAATGAGATTTACAAATCGTGACAGTAAAATGATTTGAATGCACAGAGAGAGAGATGAGGGCTCAAAGTGCCAGTGCCCGGTGGTCTAAGCCTATAGCAGCATAACTGAAGGCTCTACTTCCCATAGTACATTTTGAGACCGTAGGTCTGAACCTCTTTCACCAGCTGTTCTTATGAAGACGTTTCTTAAAGCCACTGACAGATTTTAACAAGATTCTGACATTCAACGTTTTCTTTTTGCCGATTTGTTCTCGGGTAAGAACGACCAGCATACTTAAGCACATATGAGTACAGACATGCAAGTGTAAAATCATGGTGATTGTGTTTCCTTCATCCTGCACCTTTAGATTATTAAAAACAATTATAAACATGATTTAAATGTGGTCAACCTTTCTGTCAGTTACACAAAGTTTTGACAAGTGTACCGACCTTTTTGTATTTAATGTCTTTACAAACTCACTGATAAAATATGAGGCACAACGTTCACTCTTCCCACACTGCTCACAGCTGTATGGTTTCTCTCCACTATGAACACGTTGGTGTTTTCTCAGTATGTCTTATACTGCAAAGGTTTTCCCACACTGCTCACAGTTGTACGGTGTCTCTCCGATGTGAATATATTGGTGCTTTTTCAGTGACTCTTGTCACGCAAAGGTTTACCTACAGTCTCTAAATGTACTATGGGAGGTAGAGCCTTCAGTTATCAGGCCTGCTCGTGGTACAGTCTCTAAATGTACTATGGGAGGTAGAGCCTTCAGTTATCAGGCCTGCTCGTGGTACAGTCTCTAAATGTACCATGGGAGGTAGAGCCTTCAGTTATCAGACCTGCTCGTGGTACAGTCTCTAAATGTACCATGGGAGGTAGAGCCTTCAGTTATCAGACCTGCTCGTGGTACAGTCTCTAAATGTACTATGGGAGGTAGAGCCTTCAGTTATCAGACCTGCTCGTGGTACCTACGGTCTCTAAATGTACTATGGGAGGTAGAGCCTTCAGTTATCAGGCCTGCTCGTGGTACCTACAGTCTCTAAATGTACTATGGGAGGTAGAGCCTTCAGTTATCAGACCTGCTCGTGGTACAGTCTCTAAATGTACTATGGGAGGTAGAGCCTTCAGTTATCAGGCCTGCTCGTGGTACCTACGGTCTCTAAATGTACTATGGGAGGTAGAGCCTTCAGTTATCAGACCTGCTCGTGGTACAGTCTCTAAATGTACTATGGGAGGTGGAGCCTTCAGTTATCAGCCTGCTCGTGGTACCTACAGTCTCTAAATGTACTATGGGAGGTAGAGCCTTCAGTTATCAGACCTGCTCGTGGTACCTACGGTCTCTAAATGTACTATGGGAGGTAGAGCCTTCAGTTATCAGCCTGCTCGTGGTACCTACAGTCTCTAAATGTACTATGGGAGGTAGAGCCTTCAGTTATCAGACCTGCTCGTGGTACAGTCTCTAAATGTACTATGGG